CGACATAGTTATCTGGTAAACGTTTGAACTAATCCTTCAGTAGCATGTTGATTAAGATGAACGATTCGATCGATGCCTTGAGCTAACATATTTATTTTTAACCCCAAGCTTTCGCCGATTTCATTACGACATCGTCAGGGAATGTGACTGAGACAAACTTTCAATGATTCAATCGAATCTTCCGTGGCGTATCGTTATTGTGAGGTCTCTCCGAAAAATGTGTGTCGCCTAGTAAACCAAATGCAAAGTCTATATAAAAATGCGTCGGTTTACCATGTTTATTACCACAGGTTCACCTCAAATTCTCCATACTTGTCAGCTGAAAAAAATTATATTGCGTAAAAATATCAAAAGAAATCGCGTGACACATTAATATTCAGTCATCCAAAACTGACAGTTGACGCCAGACAAGTTCTATTATTCTTTGCCTCTTGCAACATGGCAGATGAAACGAATAATCCTTACACTACGTTCTCAGGGGAGAAACTACCTTTCAGAGGCCTGAGACTCTGGAAATTGTTAACTTTACTGTCAAGTCTGGTAGCCATAACTATTGCAGCGGTTTTTGTTTGGTACGTACTCGCACACACAACTGCGGAGAAGGCTGGCGACAAACAAAATGCAAGCACCGATGTTACAATGGCGTGCCCCCAGCTACCTACGTTATTTCCTCTGCCCAAGGAGACTCCAAAGCGAATCACGGAAGTCTTTGAGAAGCTTGAGTCGATTCTTAATGCTACAGTTGACGAGACTTCGTCGCTACCAGCCATTTCTATGAACGTATTCTACCGAGATAAGATACTTTGGAGCGGCCATTACGGAAGCAAGGTGTATAAACAACCGACACTGAAACCAAATGACAGCACTGTTTATCGGATTGGAAGCGTCACCAAGATCTTTGCTGTCCTCTTAGTGTACAAATTGTACGAGGAAGGAAAAATTGTTTCCATTGACGACCCGTTGAGTAAGTACGCTCCTAATTTCTTTATTCACAACCCTTTTACAAATGAAAACATTACGCTACGCGAAATCGCGAGTCAAATGTCTGGATTACCGCGGGAGGCTCCATGTATATATCAGTGCTCAAATACAACGTCACGTGAGCAGCTTGCGTTGCTAAGAAACCGTACGTTAGTTCTTCCTCCTTGGACGGAGCCTTCGTATAGTAACCTTGGTTACGCGTTGTTGGGTAGGCTTCTTACTGAAAACTTACTCAACGAAACATTCGAGAACTGGACAAAAGAAAACATTCTCAAACCCCTTGGAATGGCAAATACTGGCTTTGAAATCACAGAAGAAGTGGAGAAAAACATGGCGTTCCCTTATCTACCCGATGGACAGCGAATGAAGTTTATGAACTTAGGGTGGATCAACCCGGCAGGGGCGATGTACTCCACCATTGAGGATCTCGCTAAGTTAGGAATGATGTTTGCTCAACCTGAAAAACAGAAACTGTTCAAACCTGCTTCTCTTCGAGAGATGATGACTCCCAAGGACATCACCCCGGACGGAGTGACAGTATGGGGATCCCCTTTTGAAATGTTCTTCAGTGAACATTTCTTGATCCGCACCAAAGGTGGCAACATTGACACTTACAGCGCGTTGCTCACAGTTATTCCTGAGCTGGCTCTCGGAGCAAATATTCTGAGAAGCACCATATATTACGGTCAGCCAATGGGGTTTGAAGCCCCTGTGTCGTTTTATAACCTCCTTGCTCCAAGACTTAACGAAACTCTTTTTGAATTGCAGCGTAAGTCCCACTTTCCTATCTCTCCGGAGCCGTTTATTGGAAAATTTCGCGTAAAGCAAGTTAATCCAGTATTTGGTAACATTATGACCTATAACGTTACCATTACCAGCTACCAAAATTTTTTACTTTCCAGTGTTCTTCCTACACAGTCGACCCTAGAGATCAGGTACATCGGGGAGAATCTCGTTTTCCAAGCTAAAATGCGTATCCCAGGGAATTCTTGTTTTGGGGAGCGCGTAGGAACACTGGCAGATCTATACTATGAGCCACCCGATAAAGAGAAGCTGTCACAGGGTTTCCGAATTCCACAATGGGAGATTCTTGCAAAGCGCCTGAAAGATAGCGGCGAAGATCCAGGCGATGGTAATAGAAAGGAATTTGATTTTTTCAACGACTTTAAGAGTGCTATATAGAATATTAACCGTTCACTCTTGCGGCATGTATTTAGACTGACAGGTACACTTAGATATACTCTTAGCGAGACGACGCTTTGTGTTTTTCTCCATTTTAATCTCACTGTAAACAATCGGTTTATTTTCTCATAAACAGTTTCACGCTCTCGCAATTCTTGCACGTGGTCAAGTTCATAAGTTGGAAGTAGCTTATGGACGGTCCTCCCTACAAGGGAGGGCTGAGCTGAAAACTGTCGCACAAGCCTATTCACCCCTTGCGCTTGTCGTCTAGATTAATAACACGTCAACTTAATTACTAGCGGTTATTACATAATAAATACTCCTTAAAGTTTTGAAAGATTGATGATCATCAACTCCAGTACTTTTTTTAGACAGAATACAAAATTCTCAGTTCAGTTAAGAGAATAAACTTTTAGCTCTCGAGAATCATTGGGTCGACAAAAATTGATAAGCAAAGAGGAACAGAAGATGGCGTTTTTTCATGCTTGACCGATCGATAACAACCGATGAAGTAGAGACATCACCATATAATTCAGTTTTATACCAAATAACTGCCTCTTATTTATAAGGCTGAACTAAGTTGTTAATACTCGTGGGAGATAGATGATTTATAAGCATAAACTAATTTTCAGGCACAAATATTATTTTCTATTTGTTGTCAACGTTATCGCGCGTCATAAAACAGTTATATAGTCATATAAAGACTTAGAAAAATAAAAATATTTGTGACGTTTAATTTTCAAAAAAGATCAATCCAACTGGGAGTGCAGTCTATGGAAATCGTCCGAAGGGGATGAAATGTGGAAGAAATTAGACGACTTAGGTTCCGTTACCTCGAAACCCACGACCTGCGACAGAGCGTATTCCGATTGTAACTCGTAAGCGTGTTTCTCGAACGTAACTTGACAGCGAACCCGAACTTAATGCGATAGTGTGCATTCCGAAGATAACGCGACAGTGTGAATCCCGAACGTAACGCGACAGTGTGTATTACGCGTGAAAGTGCAGTGTATCCAAATGGCAACGCAACAGTTTGTATCCTGAACATAGCGCGACAGTGGGTATTCCGAGCAAATCGTGACAGTACAGTTTATCCGGATGGTAACGCAACAGTGTGTATTCCCAACGTAACGCGACAGCGTCTATTCTGAAGGTAACACGACACTGTTTATTCCGATGGTAATGCGACGGTGTGTATCCCGAACGTAACTCGGAAAGACCCCATAAATCGGGCTAAGCTTATTTTATTTTATTTTTTTTTTCGTCTCCTTGGTAATTTAGCAACGCAAACACTGTCTCGCACAGACAAAGAGCTGCCATTTAATAATCCAGACAGATAAATATACCGTCCACTGGAACTTGTGCTAAACGTTTTAAAATGAAATTTACCCAGCCTATTTGCGTTTGGCTTGGAAGACGGAAACTTCAAAATTATACGCAAATAACTTGATGAAAAAGAGTCGCTTCTGCCCTTTTATCTCAAACTAGGAAAATCCATGAGAGGTTTGAAGTGGCAGTTCCTTGAGAGATAAAGAGATAAAGTAGATTATTTTTATTTCTTTCGCCAAAAAACGTTTTCAAATATTTATTTCTAAACATACCGTGACGCTCTTTACAGCCATGAACTACACCAGTTTTTGGGAAAATTTTGAACAGAGTAAAATTTTTTTTTCGGAATTCGATCCCCGTTAATCGAACTGAACAAACAGTCGTCTCTTATCTTGTTTTTTCTTTGACTACACTCGCTACTAATGTAAACAGAAATAAAAGATATGAATTATATTTTTCAGGTTTTAAAACGATATAAAGTAATGCAAAGGTTTCGTGGTAAATTTATGTTTTTTGGGCAAAAAAATTAAAATTTTATGTAAAATGGCCTCAGTTCAATTGTCCTTGTTTTTGAGAATAGTTATGATGATATTGCATCAACACTTTCATTCAAGTCAATACTGATCAGATCCCAAGGAAACATTTTGTAATTACCGCAGAGCGGTTATTACCTCTTGAATCAATTGTTCGGATGTTTTTAGCCAAACAACATTGGAAACCTAATTACCAGAGTCCAAATGAACTTGCTGTTGGTGACTTCTTGTGTCTTAACAGATTGAATATTAAATCTCACATATAGGAAGTAGTCTTTTGGAAACGTTGAGTGCACGCCTTTAAAGAAATATCATTCCTATTGATCTCGCAACGTCAATAAATGCCACGGTAAACAGGTGCAAACATAATTTATTTCCTTTTCTCAGCTCTCACAAAGATTATGGCCTCAAGGCTCATTTGACTTAAAGCTTCCCCCTGTCAACCCAAAGGCCTATTTATTCTCTCACTTTAGGCCTTCGAGGCAGCAGATGACAAAATATTCCTCGATTTGACGGTTAAAGCGGGTGACGGTCATATCGGCAACGTGATCAAGACACCAACGAAAAGGATTGCGGAGGCAAAACAGCTTTCATCAGGTTGTGGAGTAAGTTTAGAAAATATTTCATCTTTTCACGGTGTTCAAGGAACAGAATAAGGTTTAGAGGCCCTGAAGAATTCTAAAGAAAAAAGGAAACAGCTACACCAACTCAGAGTAGGCAAGTTCTTGAAATAAAAAGTCTAATACAATAAGGAAATTATTTTTCGCAAACAAAGCTGACTCAACCACAACTAAAGCCTTCATTGTGGCGACCGGTTTGTCTGCAAACAAAGCTGACTCAACCAAGAGAAAAGCCTTAATTTCGGCAACCAGTTCGGCTACAAACTGCGTACGAAGGAAAACGAATTGCCGATAGACAAGAAACAAATTTTTAACAAACCACTCTAACAAAACTAGAAAATCCTTTACAGTGACAACTAATTTGTCTGCAATCTGCTTTCGAAGGAAAACGAATTCTTAGGTAATTTATAAGGGGAAGATTTTTGAAGCGACAAGAAGGAAGAAATCTATCGCAAGAAAACCCAGCTTCATGACGAATGACACTTTAATACAATGTTTGTTCCTGACATACCACAAGATTGAAAAAACTAAGTCTTTGATAACTCTATCAGTCATAGTGTCTGTTTGGAATGGAATTCTATTCGGAGTTGCATTGGTTGCCAACGGTCTCGTCTGCACAGCGATACTGAAACATCGCGAATTGCGCGTTAGAGCTTCCAACACCCTCCTCTTACTCCTATCCATGAGCGATTTTTGTGTAGCCTTCGCAGTTCAACCGCTGTATACCCTCCGACGATATTTGGAGCTGCAAGAACGCTACCACTGCTGGGTAATGCTTTGTTACAGGGTATTATGGCATCTTTCGATAGGGACATCTTTTCTTATTCTCTTTTTCATCGCGTGCGAAAGATATATCGCGCTGTTCTACACGTTCAAGTACAAAGAAATCATCACAGTTCCAAGACTTGTGATCTTCACTGGGGTCTTCGTTGCATCATGGGCAACATTTGTGATCTCTCGCTTTTTCGGTCTCAGCACAGCGCAATACTACACAGCAGCGATTTCGTTTATCATCACATTCGTCACCTTTATCAATTTTGTGTACATTCGCATCTTTAGGCTAGCTCGTCGTCACCATTTCCAAATAAGCCGTATGTTGATGGCACAATCTTCAATGATTGCAAGAGAAAGCAAAATAACAAAAACAACTGCGTACATCGTGGGAGCCGTATTAACCTGTTACTCTCCGCTGCTGATATCTTTGGTAGCTGTCAAGTTCTTCGACGACAAAATATTTCATTACTACGTTTTTCCAGTCACTGATTGCTTCGTATTCAGCAACTCCGCGCTTAATCCGCTGATTTATTGCTGGCGAAATAGCGACTTAAGGCGATGCATTCGAATGATGCTGCAATTTTGTTCTCTAAGACACAAAGTAAGCGCGGTTTCTTCAATAACTATGCAAAACTTGGCACAAAGAGGTAATAACGCCGATTATGATTAAACACTCCTCTCCTTACCGGTTCGTAACTTGGGGGTGGGGGCTAGGTTTCCCATGACCCACATCTTCCTTCCGCGTTGAGAGATAAGACTTCGTAAAGTCTTTCTCAAGGAAATAAGAATCTTGTAGGTCAAGTTTGCACAGACGCGCGAATCCAAAGAACCTACAGAGCAAAGATCGTCTTCGATACTCGATATTTCATTTGCCGGTCCTTATCGCCGCACCAACACTTATCACCAAGAGATTATGAACTCTTGTAATCATACTGTTGGAGAAAGAAAAACCGGTTTTAAAGCTATGCCGTCTGCGATTGGGTATCAACAAGTGAATAAAGCTTTGTAACATGTTAATTGAAGTGAAAGATAATGATCATCTTTCGATTAAATTGCCAGGCTTAGCATTTACTATCTTCATTAACATCATTATTAAGCAAAAGCACCACATACGACATACCTATCCTAGAAATATGCAGCAAGTTCGACCCTTCCTTCACGAATTTTTAAGGACAGAACATTTTTGTATTAACTCAATCTTGAGCACTATATTAGAATTTTACTCAACGAAAGCCAGTTTTAAAACGGATACTACTACTAGGGTCTTGGCTACAATTTATATCTGTGATAATAAATAAGTCTGCAATGTTGTCATAGCAATACAAAGTCAACCTTTACAAAAAGTTATTGACAATTAGAGTTCATAAATATGTTAACTTGTATGCAATGCTGAAACACATTTAAAATCCATTCCTGTCAATTACAGCACAGAAATAACGTTCTTCAAATAATAAGCTCTCTACCTTATGATGAAGAAACATATTAGAAATAAAATTAAATACTAAAATATTTATCAGTTGATGACAAGTCTGAATCACATTAAATCGAACTACGATCCCATTTTGCTCTGCTGCGAGGTTGTTTCTCGTGAAAGTAAAGCAACTTCATAAAAAGCTTGTTTAGCATCGCTTTTTGATTCCACCCATCGACACCCATGTGTGAGCCCCCTCCACACACCCCTCCTTCAAATTAGCCATAGCAACAAGACCACCCCCTCCCTTCCCCGTGTTGACCCGACCAGAACTTCTTGTGACACAAGAAGCAAATATCCATGACTTGCATCATGGAAACTGAGGTTTAGTACCCATAATTCATTGCTCCCTTTGAATACTTTTCGCAAAATTTCGAAACGGCAGGGTCCCAAATGATGGCCACTGCGACACTTTTCTACCCAGGTTTTGGCCTTCGCTTGGCTATAGATTGTTTGATGCTTTTAATCACCGTGTAAGGATCGACATTAACGTTTACAGTCTGGAAAGGAAAAAAAAACATAACAAGAGTTAGTTTAATGTTGAAAAAGCCTATTAAATGGAAAGGGAAAGACAAATGAAGCAAATTGAAGAAGAAAAAAAGAAAAACATCAACTTACCCCGAATAACATGAGGGAATCGATATCCGCTCGTCTCCTATGAAATAAAATGAAAGGTTAGTCAATCATCCTCAGTCTCCCACCGGTAATTGTGGGCCTCCTGGGCATCAAGACTTCAATATGAAGCATGGACAAGAGGTTATAAGGTATTCACTTCCGGAATCGTTGGGAGATGAAAAAAATAAAGAACTTGATACTTCAAAGGTGAGTGACTGGAATGCTCAGCGCGTTTCAAAATGGCCGACGCCCGTTGAGGAATTTTAGGCACATTTAAGGACAACGTTTGGAAGCTTAAGCAGCTCCATGCAATATCAAAACGCGGGTAGTGTCATATTTATACATTCTATGAAAAGGCTAAGGAAAATGTCAATTGGTCTCTAAACTAAATCCTGATGCTAAACTAGGTTGCTATCATTGAAAAAGAAACGAGCTATAAAATAAAACGGGTATCAACAGGTGTTCTTACGCTTCCGCAGGTCCGCGATACACGAGTCTTATGATTGCGGGTAAATCACTTTGGTCAGTTAACGGCCCCTGAAATGACGATAAAAAAGTTAACGTCAGAAGAATAGGAAATTTTTCTTTTAGTCCGTCCGTGTGTTTGTCCATCTGTAGCTCTTTGTCTGTCTTCCTGTCTGTCTGTCCTTCCATCTGACTATCTCTCGCTATCTCTCTGTCTCTCCGTCGGACCGTCTGTCTCTCCCTGTGACTGTCTCTCTTTCGGTCAGTCTGTCTGGCTGTATATTCTTTCATCTGACTATCTATCGCTCTCTCTCTCTCTCCGTCTGACTGTCTGTCTCTCCGTCTCTCCGTCTGCCTGTCTGTCTTTCGGTCAGTCTGTCTGTCTATCTGTCTATCCGTGAGTTCGTCTGTCTGGCTGTCGCTCTAACCGTTCGGCGATGGGTTCTAACTTTTTGTATGGTTCTGACTCTTACCAATTTTGGGAATACCATTCCTGCACTCATGGCGTACAGTTCCATGTCATCCCTTAGAGCTGCAAATAAGAAAAAAACATTCCTTCGTCATCTATTCACATCATTAAAAGACTACAAGATATTTCTGCGCTGGAGAAACACCAACTTACCGGCGATAGAGTAGTAGAGAAGCTGGAAGAGATCTTTACAAGGTGTCTTACTGAACAGGTAAATTTCATAGGGCGCGGCAGGAGTCTGGGAAAGAAATAAAATAGAAAATCTTTAAATATAGCGTTGATTATAAAGTTACTGTGAACATCTAATCGGGGTACACCCTTGAGACTAGGAAAAGTGTCCCCTAGAAAACGGTGTCACAGGATTCATGTAACTGTTCAAACTATATTTTTGGAGCATAACTGTTCCTCTCTTTTCGAAGGGCGGAAAGAGTGCCACAGTAAGGAACCCAGTATTTGAGGAAGAGCCGATCCCCAAAGGGGACAATATTAAAAAAAGGTTACTCCCAAAACAGAACGGGAGGCCAGAAGTTTGGTTCCCAATTTTAATATCGGCTGATCGGAGGAGATGAATTAGGGGGTCGCAATGGTGGGGTCTCTAACAGCGGGGTACCCGCAATTGCTGGGGACCCTTATCAATGGGTGGACGAGCGTCGACGGTAATGAAGTGTCCCTGGTGAACAATGCTTCGCTAAACAAAGTCAAAGACAACAAAGAAAACACTTACCACGGATGCTATAACACTGGCATTGCCGTGCTGAACAGAAAGACCTAACGCACTGTGGATCTAAAAGGCCACGGGGAATAAAAACTTCTTTTTAAATATGTAGAATGGTTCAAATTGAAAGATCTTGTAAGTCTTATGAGAAATGTACAAAGAACAGAATGGAAAATATACATGCAGATGTCCTGGTGTAAAAGGTTACAGGAACGTTTGATAGCATTAGCTTTTTTTGCCGTCTGAACAGTGAATGAACGTATAAGAAACGTCACTGCGCGTAAATTTTATACTGAGTAGCTAATATTTAACAATAGCTTACCCACGTGGAGGTAAAGATCTACCATTTTCACTGATACTGAGGTAAATAATTGTTTTAGTATATACCACACAGATACCGAAAAATTAAACTCTTGACGCGCGATTTCGCCTCATCGGCTGCTCGGAATTGAAAAGTACTCGCTCTTCACTTCCGAACTAGCCAATAAGAGCACGCGAAAAGCACTACTCACTTGTGTAGTATATACTTAAAATAAATGATCGATAATCCCAGCGAAGATTCCTACTTACTCTATTCAAAGCTGAGAAATAGTTTTCTCCATCATGATTCGCAGAATATTTCATGGCGGACACTTGGAAATGGGCCCACCTAGCTGAAGAACATTCAAAATGATCATATGAGCAATGGGCCATTTTACAGTTGTGTACTTAGTTGCCAAGCCTTTGATTTGGAGTGAGGCTGAAGGTGACCTTGTTGTGATAGAGACTAGTATCTAGTTGGCATGATAACAAAGTAATTTGCATTTGAAAAGCAGCAAGGTTTGTATCACAACAAGGTCACCCTTAGCCTCTTTCCTGTTCAAAGGCTTGGCAACCAAGTACACAACTGTAAAATGGACTATTTGCCTGTCTGGTTGATTGTCACTTGCTTGTTAGGTAGTTAAGAGAATTAATTGAAATAAGTGGTCACCATACTCACCGTAGTAATGGTCACGCGCCAAAGCCACGTGGAAGTGAGGATGGACTTGACTAGCACTTGCTCTCGGCAGAATGTCCAAGTAAATGTGGGGGATTGTGTATTGCTCGTCGTACTGATGCGCTCGGTGAAACCTGAAAGAAATTCAACGCAAAGAAGATGAATTCTGGAATCAGGAATAAAGGGAGGGGGGAAAGCTTCCTGTCGCACTTTGTAATAACACTTGTCACACTTTGTAATAACACTTGTCAAACTTTTTTAACAACACTTGTCACACTTTGTAACAATACTTGCCACAGTTTGTTATAACACTTGTCACACTTTGTGATAACACTTGTCATATTTTGTAATAACACTTGTCACACTTTGTAATAACACTTGCCGCACATTGCAGTGAACAAGCTGTCGCGCTTTGTAATAACACTTGTCACACTTTGTAATAACACTTGTCGCGCATTGCGGTGAACAAGCTGCCGCACTTTGTCATAGCAGACCATTGCATTTGTAACAAGATAAGCTCTCGCACTTTGTTATTCTAGCAAAAAGTTTACGTTCAAAAATTATAAGAAATGCGAGCCACTCATGAAACTGGTGTCAAAATTAACCTTCTAACCCCTTAAAAGTGATTGGCATCTTAATTATCCTTACAGTATCACTGTTGAATCACACATTAATGCCATGAGATAAGAGAAATGATCACCAACGAGAGAGGCTTTTAACTGTTGAACAAATTCTCCTCGTTTGTAGCATAGGGAATGGATATAGACTAGTAAGGAGAATATGCATACTAATCTTGGGGGGTTAAATACAAATGAAAAAGGAATTCATTTGCTTACCACTTTTGCGCAGTTTCCATAGCATCAAGAAGCTGTATGATAAAAAAAAAAAATCAGCCGTCAGCTAGGATAAATATCGTTTGTGATTTAATCGAATAGACAAAATCGGCATTTCCAGAATACTCACGAGGAATGTTTTTGTTTAAAGAAGTTTGTCAACAAACAGGGAAAAAAATTTACTACTCAAATCATCTCCAAGCAAAATTAACAATAAATACTATGCCCCTGTCTTTTTGAAGAATTTGATATTCGAATTAGCATTGCATATTAAAAGCTGGTCTGAATAATAACACCAGAATACAAATGTGCCATAAAAAATCGAAATTTTTATTTCTAACAATTTTTCAGCACGATTACAATTTTGTTGTACACCAGATAAATCGTCCGAAATTCTAACCGAAAGTTTTCAATTGTGTTTCAATTTTTTAACAAACAAAAACCGCACTATATCTCAAAGAAACAGTTTGGCATCAACCTTTAGTGTCTACAAAAATTTCTTGGGGATTAATTTCTGAACATTTGAAATCACGTTCTCAAAGTCATGTTCTGACGGAGAAATAATAAAAAGTTCTCTCCGCAAGTACAAGCAAACAAAATATATTGCATTTTAATTCTAATCGGACAACTAGCAAATTATGGTTTTGACAGACACGAATCGTATGATTAAATAACAACCGTATGATATGCAAACGGTCGCCATATATGCGAGGACCGAAATACAAAACCGAACTGTCGAACATTTTATCGAAGCAGCAACAGTTGCTATGCGCGATCATCATTGAAACTGGTTCGAGTAAAAGGCGAGAATGTCTGAGCAACTTTTGAAACATGAACAATGACGTTCTCTCCCATTAGGTGTGCGACATTTACACAATAGTGCGACACAAACGCTTCAATTCAAACAATTTTCACCTCATAATTAAACCGCACAACAATTTTGTAAAACGCCCACAAAACCCACTCAGCCTTAGTAAAAAAATCGAAATTAAAATTTAAAAAAATCTTACTCGAACTTATTTGACTTTTATAAGAGCGATTTCAAAGTTTAATTTTGAAAACCGCGAAATAAGCTTCTGTAAAATTGAGGACAATAATTTAGGCAATTTGGCCGATATCAAATATTAAATGAAAAAACTAGGACTTTCTTTCACTTATTGCTTTCTTCACTTAATCAATTTCCAGCACATAACTGAATGGAAATTAGTTGGATCACTTAAAAATGGAAATTTTTTAACAGTTTAAGTTAATGAAACTTTTCTCTGGTCATTCATACTGCATGAAAAAGGAACGCACTTTGGAAGCGGACTACCAATTAAAAACGGCGGGAGGGAACCGGAGTTCAAGCTGTTAATCTGCGCGACCACGAAAAAATTGAGATGAAAGCAAAGACTTCAAAAGTGACACTAGCCCAAAATCTACTTATTTCCTCCTTTGTTGAGTTGATCATTTGAAAATCACTATTAAAACACCACAAGGAAAATAGAAGAAGCTTGCATTGTATGCCATGTAAATATACAACAGGTGCATCCCTTGAAAACCACATAATTTTGCGAACTAATACCGATGACAACAACTGAAGAAAAAAAAAAAAACGTGTCTTGAGCAAACTGCTGAGAGCGAGAGGTATCAGAGACAACAAATTGATCACCAAATGTTTGACGAATACACCGCGACATGACGCAAGGTTGAAGAATACACCGCGACAAGAAATAACATGCGACCAAACAAAAAAAAATAGAACGTTTCAGAGGTTAGTTAAAGTATCTAGGGAACGGTTCGTCCGATATATATTTCATCGCACCGGGATACAGTTTCTAAGAGTATTTAAATCGCATTCTTTTTCTCAAAAAGGTGCACATCTTAAGGCACAATACGCATTGTTAACTCATAATCCAGCACTGAGATCGACGGATTTGATCTTAAGGAACATTGGTTACCTTTGTTAACAACATGTTTTGACGACTACCGCATGCAGGGAGGCAACAAGCCTTTGATATCGCGCCATTAACAACACCGCACGTCGAATCACCAGACGAATCCAAAATCAAAAGATTGACACGGAATCGTCCAGACAGATGTAAAGACTGAATGAGGAAACAAAGAGTAGCGTAAAGCAAAAAAATCCTAAGACAAGGTTGACAAGAAATACCGAGACGAGGTGAATAAAATCTGTTGAACACGAACAGAAGGATGAATTCAACATTTAATGCCACTGATATCGATCAGCCAAACCTGGGTACAGTTTTCTTGGTGTCTGGTTCATTTTTAGCCGTGATATGTCCGTTAACCGTCCTTGCTAATGTAATGCTTTTGATAGCAATATACAAGGATCCATTTAACACGTTCCGCACGCCGACCGCGTGGTTCCTCGTGGGTCTTGCGATCACAGATTTGGCAACAGGTCTTGTTCCAGAACCCGTGGTTACAAGCTGCTATTTTATGCACTATCATCGACATTCCAAAGTGGAACGCTGTGAAAAGATCTTTAACATTGCTGGTATCATTGCCGCTATTACCACTAATTCTTCATTTTTGATAGTCATGGCGTTCACTTTCGCGCAGTATGTGGCCGTTGCATTTCCGCTCAAGTACAAGCGTTTTATCAGCGTTCGAAAGACGTTAGTTTGCGTGGCGTGTATCTGGCTATATTCAACCGTCTTCGAGATGTCTCGAACCGTAGGAGTCCCTAGAGAGTTGCTGGAAAAACTCGACTTGTACATCCACTCAACATTATCACTGTTATTTACCATCATAACTTACGCTTTACTTCAGAAAGCCTTCCGCAAACAAATGACGGCAAGATCCGCTACCCTGCATACCACAAATTCAGTAAGCATGTCCACAACGCACGAAGTTCACCCTCGGAAACAGAGACGGAAATCAAAACCAATGATCGAAAGGAATTTCGTGCGACTAAATCTTCTTCTCATTGTGATACTATTGCTGTGCTCGCAGCCGACCGCTATACTGTGGTATATATATTTGTACGCTGATGAAGACACGAAAAAAAGCCACACTCTTTTTGTGATTCGCGTTATCGCGGACAACACTCTCTACTTGAAGTTTTTTTTGGACCCGTTTCTATTCGCTTGGCGGCTGCCGAAATATCGAAAAGCTTTGAGAACAACGTTGAGCAGAAAGAAGTGAGGAAATGGACACTAATAATTGAAATCACTCAGACACAGGAAATTAACATCAGAATCATTTGCTTACAAATATGTCTTATACCTCATTCATATCAAAGCTTAAAAATATTTTGAAGCTATTCTGTTACACACAGCTGATTTTTTCTTTCTTCATAGAAGCCACTTAAACCGGTGAATGTCGACTTTAAAGTTGGCAAATTGAAATACACTTAGTGACTACTTGAATCCTATAGAAAATTCGACTTTTTAGTTCTCTGTTTCGGATTTTCATGCAGCTAAACCCGGTTTAACTATAAAAATGTTCCGTTGGTTTGAATGGGGCATAAGTTTCTTTCTGTCAGAAGCTGTTTCAATCAGCTGAGAAAAATATTAAACTGACTTTTCAAAGACATGTAATGGAGGAATATTCTGCAGCCCATACAAAACACCTGGAAATAAATTTCGCCGATAAGAACGATTCCATTAAAATCATTCTGTCGACTTTTAAATTAATTTCCTCTTTGCCTTTTCTTATCATTATCATTTTTTTTTCATTTTTTCTGTGTTACTGAGTAAAAAAATTCATGTGTCAGAATTCAAGTAGTTGTAACATTTACGCCTCGCGAGAATTTAACAAACTATAGCAAGGAACTCAAAGTAACTGGTTGTTTTAGCGGCCAAATTATATGGGCAATGATGTCATTAGTCTGTCTAGCTTTCCTTCCGAAAAGATTCTATACCCTCGATTTCTTTTAGAATGACTCAGTTCTCCAAGCTGTCAAGCAGCTGAAGACTCACAAAATCTAATCAGAAATCATCTCTCCTTGGCTGCGTACATTTCCTTGTAGCAAATAGCCAGGAGACATAGGTGTCTATTATGACAAAACCCTGTAAAAGATAAGTTCGTTTTATCCTCCTCATGCATCTTCTAAAGAGAGGCTGATAATGCAGGGAGAAAATTACAAGTTTTAAAATCAAATCTGGGGGAACAGGCATAAAAAGACGTTACGTGGTAAAATTGAAGTAACCGACGAAGTTATAAAAGGCACGCTACAAATGTCTCACGAAAAAAAAAAAACAGAAAGGTTAAGTTTCATTTCGTTCTACTTACTTCTTCTTCGTTTATTTCTAGTGGATTATGCCGCCTCCAAATGATAAGACTGTGGAACTTCTCTACTTTAAATGTGTTGGACACTGCAACAGACGAAAAAAATAACATGAAAAGAGCCGAGCCGATTTCAGAGCAAATATCGATTGAATGTCAAAAGTAAACGGAGATTACATTAGTTCCAGTTATCTTTGATCTTACTTTGGTCTGCCACCCTCTCAGCCAATCAGATGCAAAACTAAATCCAACCGCCGATTGGAAATCCGCGTTTTCCCGCGCTCGAAAGAGTTTGCTTATTATTATTTTGAGATCTGTTTGATTCCTTTTGATTCAGTGTGTTGTGTGTTCTAACTGGCCTTTGTGAATTCTACACTTTAGGTTATGGGACACTCAATC